AGAGCCCACCCTAAAACTTGTTTGTCGCATGAGCCCTAACCCTTCCATCCGACTGTGAAATTCTAGACCGGCGGCATAATTTGACGGCGAAAGTTAAGCGTGCCTTAACGCACGGCACGGCCGTCTGGCTCTCTGACGTCACCTAAGCTTTAACGCAGCCGCTGCGACTGACCGCGGACCACCCCACTCAGAGGCAGGTCGTGAGTGCTTGAAGCTACTCAAACTTACCTCGCCATGCACGGGTCGCCGTCCAGCCAACTGATCTTACAGGACGGGCAATTCAGTGTGGTGTAGCTGCTATCTCCAATTTACTCATGTGGCCGTCGTTTCATAACCAAAATTACTCATGATGTCGCCGTAAGGGACTTTCGAGAGCAGTGTTGATTGCAGGATTCAAAAATCGCTCAAAATAGCTTAATTATATATTGTACAGCGCACCAAGATCAGTGCATTTCACACGCATTTGTAAGTGCAAGGTGGTCCGCGACACGATGGAGTTCATGATAAAGTTTTGGATGACTTCTTATAACCTCAAGCTACTACCACCCCTCTTGGAATAAAGTGATTTTGTGTTCGGAATAAAACAAGCTTTTTACTATACACTCCGAACATCCATTAGCGGAGGTTTCGCATGCAACGAGCTGATTCGACTTAGCCTGAGAAGTTAGCTATTAAGGAAAATCTAAAAGAACTCGGTAAAAGTCGTTCCAGTCCAAGTTCCAAGTCCAAACAAAAATCCAAGCTTCGAAAACGGTGAACGTATGTTACCAGTAGAGCCTTCAACCTTAAAAACCGTATGAGCTCCTTCGGTACAATGCAGCAAGTCCGAACTCAGAACCTGCTGAGCCGATCCTCCCGCAATCTGTGCGAATGGGAAAAGTGCGCACGATTTATTAGCGACTCCGAAAATGACGCCTGGATTTCACTGCCTTGACCTTCAAAAACCACGAATAGAAATTAATTCTGAACACGAAGCAGGACGCATCCGGGTGGTTTGAAGTGATTTATTGTATACTGTAGTTATATTGTTATATTGTTGTTATAGCTATATTTTATTGTAGTTATATTGTTAGATTTATTGTATACTGTATATATAGAACTGTAGTGATTTATTGTATACATAGACTCGACCGTAATATTCTCGCTGTGGTATTTCCGCGTATTCAGTGGCACACCCCAAATGCGAAGGCAGGTGAGAGCTGGAGCCCAACTGAACTCCTCGAAGTCGGTCATGTCCCCGAACGGCTCCTTTGCGAAAAAATGTGCAAGTCGCGTGCCCGTATCAGTCATGTTCAATTCAGTATTCTTTGCAGCATAATCCTGATTCATATTTAGGTGTAGCATATTCATGTAAGCATTTCCCATATACTTATTGAACCTAACTGGTCTGATCTGTATGCGCAATCATTTTTCGACTGCTGGCGCAACACATGATGAAGCAAATTGAGCCACCAATGAAAGATAGTGCATGCGAGACGTCTGAAGACCCAGACACGATGTGACATCAATCCATAATGGTGCAATGCTTTCAGCCGATTTTGCCGCAAAGGTGACTGCTGACATCCATTTAGATGTCGAACGGACGGAAACATTCGAACTTTTACCACCCATTCATAGCTTTTCAAATAATACCGGTATAACACCTGATGCAGAAAATGCGGGTAATTAAGCGCCATCCGTCTTTAGGCCTGGTGATTTGCTCCGTCTTTAAAGAGAAGTAATCATTGCGTCGAGGATGGGAACAGGCTCATGTAAGAGTTAACGCTTACAACAATATCAACGACACTTGGTTTCTTTGCTACGAGAGCAGGTTTTGTGAAGGTCAAAATACAATCCGTCAATCCAGGTCAATTCCAACAGAACAGGCCACTGTCCTTCGACACAAAGCACTACGGTCACATTCCGTTCTCTGTCTGCTGAGCTCGGCCGCACCCACTTTGTGAGCGAATGTGTTTTTGCTCATGGCGATTTTGAGTCCATGTGGTGCACAGTTAACCTGGTAGCATAATCTTCATGTGGGGACAGTGGGTATTCGCGTTTTGGCTTCAACAAAATGCGGCGAGGTCTTGACATATTTTCCAATCCAGGCGAAGAATCGCCCACTTTGCCTAATGGACTGTGTCAGCCGTGCCAATTATGGGGCTTTGGCGCACCAATGGGATTGTTTTTTTTTTCGGAAAGCAAGCTTTACTCTTGAAATTACGGGTCCGTGTCATTGTCAACCATGCATCAGCTACTTGGGCTGCGACATGTGATTATTTATATGTCCCGGCGAAGTCAGGTCCCAGCCGTGCAGGTCAAACCGCGGCAATGAAACCACCTTTTAAGATGTTGATTCTCGGAGTGAGACGCTTCGACGACCTTCTCTTCTCCAACCACAATGAACGTGCAGTACGCTAGCCGGGTGTAGGCTGATGCATCATCGCTCGTCTGCGGCTGTGCCTCTGTGGGGGAGAGGAGGGGAAGAGCAACACTTCTTCACCCTGAGCTCGCGCTAGGCCCAGGCGACACGAGTGCCACCTCTGTGCGGTGAACCGCGGTGATTTTTAATGATCCTGACAATCTGCGCTGCGTTGGCGCTGCTATCGCTTCTGGCGGTGGCCTGCTGCTGCAGGCGGCTCTCCCACCCTCAGAGCGTCAGCCTCGTCTCGGCGACTCGCTGACCCCGCATCAGCGACTCGCTGACCCCGAGCGCGGCGACATGTCAAACCCACAACACCGCGACGCGCCGGCCGGGACGTCTTCGTCAGTACGAACTACTGCTGTTGGCGTGTCACGTGTTAGCTTAGTGCGCGTCCAAAACAATCGGCGCAAGTCGGGCTCGTGGCCAGGTGGGCGCTCAGCTTGCTAAAGCATCTGCCGGCATACTACTGCATGCATGTGTTGTGTGTCTCTAGCCTCTGAACCCAGTATTTAGCATCCCTCTACTCCTAGAAGCGAATTTGTTAGATGCCTTTCGGAACCTGGGCCAGGATAAGAGCAAATTATCGGGAACAGAGGATAATGCTTTCTGTAGAAAGTGCTTGCAAGACACCCAAGTGGCTTTGTCCTGATGATTCCTATGTAGGGGTCCGGGTACGAATCCCGGTGGGTTCGTGGCCCTTGAGCGCTAATGTGTCGTCCGCGGCTTATTTGGCGTCTGCGCTCCAAAAAAGCGCGTGACAGTGTGCGGCACGCGCCTTTTTTAAGTGACCATTGGTGTGACCTGCGAGGTACCCGTTGTAAGAGCTCTGTGATCGGCCCACCGATGGCTAAACGAACGGCTATTTTGCAAAAAGTTTTCAGGCGCCGATGAAACAGAGGCTGGAACCTGAGCCTAATTAACCCAGATAATGATGTCGGAGGGCGGATCAGACAAAAGTAAATGCTAGTCAAGAACTTAATGAAGTCCGATATTGTTTCCAGAGGTCGGTCGGTCCACTGCTTTGGCACGCCGCAATTTATAGCGATTTGAGTAACTTACAGACGCATTAAACCCAAGCGGTCACGTGCTGTCGACATTTACCACGCCGACCGCAGTTGGAGTCTCAGCAAAGGTGTCAGATCGAGGCTGCAATGCGCTGACCTCATCGCCTATTACGAGGCTCAACTTTGACTAATTCTCACTGACTCCTGGCGGTTCCAGGGACTTGAATCTGAGAGGAACTAGTGACGGCATCAGATTTCTGATAACCGAAACCGCTCGCCGCAGACACTGCGGTTCTCGGCCTCAGCAAGAATCACTTGCAACGGCGGCCTTGCATACGACACCACAATTACCAAAAGCGCCACCGTTGTATCGGTCTGCCACCTCCGTACCTAAAGAGCGTCTTGTCCTCTAACCCAAATCAGAATCTGACGGAAGATTCTTTACCGGCGGATCTTGCGGCGGATCGTTCCCTTCATGGCCGGCAGGGCCTCTTTAAGTCCGGACCAAACCTCAAGAGGCGAACGAGCCTTCCTTCGGTGCCCCTAAGACGGATTTAAACTTGAACCAAAATGGATTAAACGCATTGAGCCAGGCTAAGACGCTTTAGATAAAATGGATAAGTCAGAGTTCAAGGACCTGGTCTTTTCCAGGCGGCGTGAGGCCTCCTGCAGGACGGGCTGGCTGTCTAATGTGAGGATGCTTGCGGCGGATCCACTGCCGGCGGGGTCTCTGTGGAGATGTGTCTCTGGGGGGCGGGGGGGGGGGGGTAAACGAGATAACAACTGTCTGGGTGTTTTGGGCGCAGCTGTTGTTTCTCCCGTATTTCACTACCCTTAGTTGGATCTAGGTTTTTGCCTATTGGATCCCCCAGGTCCAGCGGGACGCCTCGATGGTGAATTTGACTCCTCCAGTCAAAATAGATTCCCTCGCAAGTCGACACCAAAGGTAAAATATTTTAATCGGTTACGAGCGCAGGCGATTGGTGCTGGATAATTGTCAAGAACTATGGGGACAAATCCTCGTTTCGGGGGTGGATTTTCATATTTCCACACCATTTCAGCTGCAGGCACATTCATTAAATAACTTCAACTCTCTTCAACTTCCATGTGTTTTCAGCTGATACCCTCCCGTGGTCCGCACGCCTCACTTTCGGTGACGTGTAATGCGGTTTCAGAATTTTGGTGAATACTTGAAGATTGACATGATGTGATTAGGATATGCTGGGGGAGCCTGAACTGGAAATATGCAAGTGTCGCTAATAAGGAGCTGACCCTGCTGTGGCTGGAGTGCACGGCACAGTTGCAATCAGCGCTGGTCGTGGTCATCAATCATCGGTCCGACCCGGCCGTCGTCAAACCCTCGCGCCAATTATATGCAAATTACGCGCGCGATCGCTGCGGCGGCGCCGGCTCCAGCGCGCATGCGCGCTCTCCACTGAGTCAGCAGCGGGCAACGCGCCGCGGCCGGCGGGGGCCAGTCATTCATAGCGCAGTTGCGGCGCGTGCCGGAGCGGCGGCCTCGGAGCGAGCTGAAGTGAGCGGCGCGTGGTCGGGCGCCAACGAGCGCGGCGCCTGTGAAGCCGGCGCCGCTCCCGCCGCGCGCGCCATCCGCCGTGAGGTGGCCGGCCGTGCGGCCGCCGCGTGGACCCCGATGCATCTGCCGCAAGAGCTGCGACACGTCGGCTACCAGGAGCGCTACCGGGAGCCGGCCATGAACGGCGCGCCCGAGATGTACCTGACGGAGCGCACCTACAACCAGGTGGCCACCGAGCACGGCCACGAGCTGGTGCGCACCGGCTCGCCGTGCTTCGTCTGCACGTGCTTGCCCTCCCACTGGCGCTCCAACAAGACGCTACCTGTGGCCTTCAAGGTGATCGCGCTGGGCGAGGTGGCCGACGGCACGGCCGTCACCCTGCGCGTCGGCAACGACGAGAACCCATCCGGCGAGCTGCGCAACAACATGGCCTTCATCAAGAACCAGGTGGCCAAGTTCAACGATCTCCGCTTCGTCGGGCGCAGCGGGTAGAGGTGAGTGAGTCTGGCGTTGGACCGGCAGCCGGTCGGGTTCGCGCGGTCGGACTCCGGCGGCGCCGCGGGTGACGCGCGCCGGCCGGGTCCGACCGGTGACGGCCGACGCTTCTGTGTACCCCTCTCTCCCCGGCCGGGACCGACCAGTGTCGGCCGGTGCTCTGTGTACACATCTCTCGCCGGCCGGGTCCTACCAGTGACGGCCAGTCCTCTGTGTACCCCTCTCTCACTGGCTGGAACGCATCACTCCCTGCCAGTGACGGCCGATGCTCGGTGTACCCCTCTCGCCGGCTGCAACGCATCACTCCCTGCCAGTGATGGGCGATCTCCCCAAGAAGAGCCGCGCGCGAAAGCAGAGATGCGATTTTCCCGTAAGCGCGCTATCCATGCGCCGTCATAGGCTTGATGACGCATTCTTGCAGAGACGAGGGACGGATGCTCCTCGTGCCGCGCTGTCGTCATCCCCGCTGCCTGTCGTGTGCGCGCGCTCTGTGCACCCTGCACCGCAGATCTCATGAACATGGCAGTTTACCGTGCAGCAGGCCTGGCGGAACGTTCTGAGAAGTGGGGAGAGTGAGTGACGTCAGTTCGCCTTTCGTACCCCGCCCTAGCACGCTCTGTCAAGCTGGCACCATGAGACAGGGCTAAACGCGGCAGGAGGAGCTACCCTAGCACGCTCTGTCAAGCCGGCACCATGAGACAGGGCTAAACGTGACAGGAGGAGCTACCCTAGCACGCTCTGTCAAGCTAGCGCCATGAGACAGGGCTAAACATGACAGGAGGGGCCACACTGATCCCTCTTCCTCTCGTACACAAGGATGTTATGAAGATTAGGTGAGGGCGCTGTGAGCACTCTCCATGTGTTATGTGTGCGTAGCTCCAGAAAGTTGACACGCTGAAGACCTTCCCAGAAGAGCCACTTCAGCCCCTTTCGTCTCCTGTCCGTCTCATGCAAAAACCCATGTGACATAATCAATGGTTGTCCACCGGCAACCAAACGCTGGCCACCTTTTTCAATTTGTGGGTAATTTCCGATCCAACAGACACATGATCGTTCCTCAGCTCACCAAGTGTCTCCCAAATGCACACTAGCACAGATAATGCTCCGAGATGTGGTCTGTATGCAAACTAAATGCCTTTTTTAAATAGGCTTACGAACTACTAGGTGCATTTGACGCCTGGTGCGATGACAAGCGCACTTGTGCCACATTTGGAGTCAGGTGCGAAATGAGGTTATGAACGCCTTTAAGCCTGTAACGCGATTTACCAGTGTAATGTTATGTAGATAATGAAGCCCTAAAAGTCGGTCTGGTACATCAAATATCTCCTGAAAGAGCGACGGATTTGATGTTTTGTCGGCATAACCCTCGAAAGATCACGTAAGCAAATGTAATATTCAATGCTTTCCCACGGCAGTGACATGAAATAACGATCTATTGCTAAATGAACGGGTAAATATTGCTGGTAGCGAACAAACGGGTATAAAAAGCCATTTGGGTCGGTACTATACCGCTGTTTATCCACCTTCTCTTGTTTGCTTTACGTGAGCGCGAATGAATATCGTGCGTGCGCTGGCTGAAGGCAGTCTGTCTCTGTTTCGACAAAAGTAGCACGCGATCCTAATGAACTGACTAGAACGCCTGTTTTCCGCAACGCACCATTTGATTCATGGATAACTTGTTCATTGCATTTGAAGGCAATGCCAGGACCGCTTTACTGCTTAGTGTTCGCTGAACGCTACAAACTGCGCCCTTACCAGCAGTCACACGATGTCATATGTGCCAGAAAGCATATTATTAGCACAAGATGTGCAACTTTGGGGGTGCGTCGTTCAGACATTCCGTAACGCGAGGGCGAGCACGCGGCCTCTGATCTGCGTTCCAATCCAACTTTTGGTAGCGAGTGTACTTCGTAGTATATTTTTCCTGCGGTATATCTGCAGTGAGCTGCAGCGTCGCAGCTGTGCAGCGCGTAACGTCTTTGGGCAACGTCGAGCTGGCTTTGATCAAAAGCACACGCATACATCTGGCTTGCTTGCGAATTTGCTGGAGTGACAAACTGTTGCAATTCATGACGGCTACGGAACGCATGACAACTGCAGACCACGTATGTATCTGAAAGCTGTTTATTCATTGAAAACGCACACTTCATGGTGCACCGGTGAGTGGCACCACGACCGCACGGTCATAGGTGCTGCTGGGACGAGTGTCGCCGGCTTTCACCCGAGAGACCTGCAGTCCAGATGGACCGTTTTTAGGTCTGTTCGGTGCATGGCTGGCTTTCCTAGGGGGAAGGGCAACAGTGGACTTGCTGCATGATCCGTGGTCTAATCAAGATGCTGCTGCATATAGTCGAGCTGCGTGTCTCCGTTGATTTGGCTTCTGAGATTCGACACAAATCATTAGCATGGCTCAAAGGCGGCAGGTTCATGACGCCCGCTGGAATGAGGGTAGTCCATCGCTCACAAACACGGACACGGACATAACTGGGTTGGAGCGGCCTGTCCTCTACACTGTGCCGTTTGCGTGCCGCCATCACCTAGGCCTTCCAGTTTGTCTAGACTTGTGCCCAGTGTTGACTTCCCTTTGGACCATTTCCGAAGATGCGAACAATCACCCGAATTTCTCAACTCAAATGCGCACGTGTTATAGTTTATGGACCGGCCGCTACCGGAACCCGGAGAGGCAAAAATCACCTCTAGAGCAAAGATCGCCCCTGGTACTTCACATGCGATGTACACCCTAAAAACTGGCATCGAACAAAAGTTCGTACAGGTATGATTGGGTGTGACAAACTTAGCTATGCAGCTCGTCTCCTTTACATTACAGCAAATTGTAGGAGTGCAGCAGACAGCTAACAAACATGCGCACTGACAGACACTGATTGTAATATTGGTCTGGAAAAGCATATTGATTATAAATGCAACCACACACATTTACGGTATTGGTACCTACGGACAACCATTGTTGGGTGGTAAATGCGTTGCATTGGCAATGCACAACATCCTCCATCTTCAACACAGCTTCACCGTCCAATGGGAAAGACGAAATTTTCGTGCTGTTTTAAGGACTTCTGGGTAACTGCTGCGCGCTGGCTCCAGCCGAAGCAGCGTTTTGATCCGCGTGCCCGTAAGATGCATGTGTTTTGACAGCAAACGTGCACGCACGAAATGTCATGGGTTTTCCCCATTCACGTGCTGTCTTTCTCTTTGTGCTCCATTTTTGTCTTTATGCGTCGGTTTTTATGCAAGTTGTTCGCTGTGTCCTGGCTGCTAGACAAGTCACATGACGGGACACTTCCCTTAATTGATGCCCGTGCTTAAACATTATTTATGACATGGCTTTGAGACAACGTGAGGGAAACAAATGTGCTCAAGACAATACTTTCGTTGTTCAGCGTTATTTGGCATCGAAAACCGCTTTTTGGGGTCACAAACATTTATTTCGTTCTGGCTAAGCTAGAGCGTTTGCCAATTTTAAGTCTTAGACATGTGTCAAACATTTTAATGGCGCGAAATAAAAGCATTGACAACTGTTACGAACATGGACGAGATGCTTGACATGGACTCATGGTGACTGTAACTTAAACTTAACTACAAATGCTCGTGTTGTAAATATACGTATCCCAGGCCTTTCGTAAGCGATTGTTCTTATGCAAATCTCACAAAAGTCGGAACTGCCGTTTGCACGAACGAACGGTTTGCACGAAGCATTTTCAAAAATATATTTGTTGTTGTCAACTGCTGCACTTTCAGATGATCTTTTACACAAGTGCATGCATCCGCATATGTTTTTAGCATCTATTTGTAGAGGACGTTCCGAAATGATATTTTCTGGTGCGAATTGCCGCATTTTGAACTGATCTCCTAAGCAACCGTTTGCATATGCGCAAGTATGCGCGTGTGGCATCACACAAACGTAGACAATCATAAGCTGTACCTGTTATCGCTGATATCTCGCGGATACAAATTCTGATATTTTGTATGCGCACTGACTCTCATGAACACAAGGAAGGAAACACGAGGCTTAAAGATGACAATATAAATGAAATATGGAAAGACTTTGCCAGCCATGCGTTACATGCGTTTGCGTACGTTTGTTAATTTGTGCATGGAACTACACCAACATAAGCGTTTGCCGATACGTTGATATACTAGAAGATGCTGCCCCACACAGTTCGGTGTCTGTCAAACTACTCAACGCAAGGACATAGGGGTGTTGGGCAAATATTCAGGGTGGGATGTGGATATGCAAATAAGTGATACGGCAGACCATTTTAAGACGGACCGACAACTCGGCCAACGTCTTCATCAGCCAGGGTGCCATGCTCAGTTTGTCGATAGCAATGGGTAAGGATTTACTTAGCATGGTTAGGGCAAATAAGACTTATAAAAAGACGACGAATAGGTCTGATCGCATGCTTGATTTCGTTTTAATGAACAGCTATCAAGTGGTTAAAGAATTTATATCCAGAGAAGCGGAACAGTTTATGTTTGTAGCCTAAACTATAATGTGTTTCGCCACAAAAGTCAGAACGGTTCGAGACTTAAAGCATTCTTCCAAAGCAACACAGCATACGCACGATATTAGGAGGCATTTTCCCAGCAAGCTGGTTACATAGATTTTTGCAAACCCGTTTGGTTAGGGCCTTGGGTGGACGCATGAAACTACGTTCCGCAGATTTCTGTGCAGTAGCATTGAACACGTAAAGGAGCATCGTGGCAAATGATAACTGGTGTGGAAAACATTCAGCGGGCACATTTATGTTTATCCAAACGCTTCCATGATCAGAATTCAACTGCGCAGACTGCCGTTGCGCCCAAAGTCCTATTATAGCAAGCCTTGACTGATGCGTACATTTAACAGGTGTTGGTGTTCCGCCAGAATTCGGGGAGGATTCACTTATTGTCTTTAGCTCTACAACTTTCTCGGCCTATGCGAACTCGACGAAGATTTATAGATGCCGTGGCTCCTCAAATATCATTGCATGACAGTCAAC